ATTTATGAATTTAAAAAATTTGATCACTTCTATCAATCATTTATTAGTCGCAAATACTAGAAAAGTTATTTAAAAGTTTTTTTTTTTGTAACAAATACAAATATCAGGAGCCATTATTAATCATATCGGTAGTAATTTGTAGTTGCATGATATTTTTGTCATTGTTCAATTCTGCAGCAGAAATTTTATTTCGATTTGATCCTCTGGAAATATGCAAAATTTAAAATATCATTGTAATCGATATCAAAATATCATCTTTTCTTGAAAAGCAAAAAAAAATGGATGCAAGATGATAAAATGAATGAATGAAAAAAAGAGGTTAAAAAATTGAAAAGAAAAAAAAAACAATACCGAATGGGATTTATTACTGCAATTGCATCATTCACTGTTGGAAAAAAGTAATGCTTTGGAATTGTTTTAAAAATTTCCGCTACCTCGAGAGAGTCTCGAACATTAGCTGAAAGATGTCACTGTCATGTTTCGTTCGTTGATATTTTCGTTTCTGCATTTAACTGTCAAAGTTTTCATAGTTCAGTATTTCGTTTTTTTAAATTTGTTGTTCTTTCTTTTGCTTGTTGGTTTTTTTTTTCTTTTACTAATTTTTTTTTTTTGGTTAGGCGTTCGTAGTTTTTACTTTAATTTTGGATAGTTTTTTGATTTCTATTAAAGGTTTTCGTGAAGTTAGGTTTCCAGATTGATTACTTTTTTTTCTCGTTAGCTTAGTTTTGTTTTCAAATGTGTTCAATTAAACTAGCTACCATTTTCCGGTAACATTTCTAAAATTTTTATCTTTTTTTTGTCATCTTCTTTTTACTTTCACTAATAATCAGAAAAAAGGTTTAAAAGAAAGTAAATTATAGTTAATTCCCGGAAAACTTTAAAATCGATTAAGATCAATTCATTTAAAAATTGAAAATATTTGCAATTTACAATATTCAAGGAAATATGAAAACAGCATAAGCAAGCTCAAAGCTATAAAAGGACAAATGAGGTCAAAAATGATTTGAGATAATTCAAGTTAAAAAAATTAAAGTTACACTCATCCAATTAACTTGAATTTAATTAATTATTTCATGTTATATTCCAAAAAAATAAAGAAACTTACTGTTGCAAGCACTAAAATATACAGTAATTCCTTGACTTTTTAGTTCACTAACGACCTAAAATTTTGAAAATTTTGTCGCAAAAGTCATACCAAAGAAGAATTTAAATATGGGAATAATTTTAATTATAATTTTAATTTCACAAACTTCAACAATCAGCTATTTAATCTATCACTACTGTGAACAACTTCATCTCAAATGGATACTTAATTTGATTGGCATTTAAAAGAACTTCCTTATCGACAGATTACATTCATAATATTAATCTTCAAAAAGAGCATGTTGGACCCATTAAACATTTACTGCGTTCTTGCAAATAATGATAATTTAAAAAATTTGAAAACATGCCAAAAATGTTATCTGTGATAAGAAAAATCATCCCATAGATGATTCTTAAAGATCAATTTTCTAAGACTTAAATAGCTAACCTGATAGATAATAAAAATATTGTTGCGATTAAAATTCTTGAAAGCTGCAAATATTTCATTAAAAATTTGAAATGTACCTCTTTTAGGATATTTAATCCCATGAAATCAGTATAGGATATGCCGGAACAATCGAGAATAAGATAACGTTGATTCAAACTTTTCAAATTATCCGCATTTTTCAAATCATTCTATAAATGCAAAAAAAAGTGATTAAAAATTCATACAAATCATATTATAATAGTAATTAAAATTTATTGTAAAATTTATTTGTGTTGTTACAAATTTTACTATAATAACTAAAAAATTATGATTTAAAAAAAAAAAATCTGCTGAGGATTATAACTGTAATGTGAAAATTCTTCTTGTAAGGTTGGGCGGGTGGGTAACTGCAATATTGCTACAACTCAGTATTTAATAAATTCATAGAAGTGTTGTTAGCATATATATTTACAAAAAATTTTTGTAAAAATGAATTCTCCCCATTTTTTTTTTTTGCAATGAAATTTTTTTTTTCTGGAAAAATTTTACAGAATTTCCAAAGCAATTTCAAAAATTTTAAATTGCACAGCTCTTTTTGTATTTTCAATTCAATCTCTCTGTTTACTTAATGTCATTGTCTATATAGCTATGAGCTTCAAATTTAAGTTTCAAAAGTTACTCTTAAACTATCCGTCAATCCTATTAGATTAAAGATATACCTCAAAATAGAACAATTAAATTATGTGTTTACTTTTTTTGTAAAGATATAACTTTTAAAACAATCCTTACAATTGAATCAGTTTTATGTTCCCAATCGGTTATTGCATTATAAATGCTTAACTTGAAACGTTCCACATTGTTGAATAATAACGGTGATTCAAAACGATATAATCGAATATTGTGATTGTTCGCTGCCGCAATATAACGTTTTGGATTATCAAAATATGATTGACATACTGATAGCTGAACCAATCTTTCCCAACGTGGCCTTAAGTATTCGATGATATAGCTTCTGGCTTTTTAGATTTTATCATTATTCGATCCCCCTGTATCATATAATTCAAAAAGCTATGTGAGATAATATCACTGCTATATTTAGAGTTTAATGAATTTCAATCTCGTGGATTTTTTAAATAGCACATTTATCCTTTTAAAATAATATTTAATAGTTTTTAATTATCTAACACAATTAATATTATTGTGTAATTTAAAGATAACAAATGTAAGAGTGGCTCTAACCATTGTGATCGAAAAATGAGTGTCATTAAAGCAAAGATGACTGAAATTATCAGACCAAGCATAACGTCTAATGTTACAGTTGTCATAAATGCTACAATCCAAATTAGCTGCAAATTATTCAATTAATTTAATGCTAATAGATTAAGGTGTTTCTTTAGCATGGCAAATATAGTTTGCTTAATGCTAAAAATCACATTACTTGTCATCAGAATAATTCGAAAATGAGAATTAAAGTTAGCGTCGAATTGAAATATCGTAAGTGTAATAATTGTAATTAAAGTAATATTTATTCTTTGAAAGGACTAAATTACTATAATTAATAACACATACAAAGTCAATTTTAGAAACTGGCCAAATTTTCGGCAATTCGGAAAATTTTTGAAACATCGACCGAAGCGACATCACGATAATAACAGCCAATATACACTGCAATATATCTCGTAAGTTCATTTTTTATAATTCAAATTCAAATTTTTTCGTTTCATTTTCAACTTTTTAAAGTTTATGGATGAACTGTTGCAAAATACCGAACCATTGGCAAAGCATTCAGTAATGGTCCAAGCGTTAGAATGACCGCTAACAACAACAAACAGGTCGATACGGCAGCAAACTGAAAAGCTAATGTCATTTTTATAATTTAAAATAACGATGACAACTTACTGTTGAAAAATTCTTAAAATGTCACATTTTTTTTTTGAAGATAAGAATATCTAGGAGCCAAAATTACAAAGTTTTTAAAAATCAAAAATCATAAATTGATTGATCAGAAGAAGCAACGACATAAAAGTTAAAATAAAAAGAAACAAATGATTAATAATTTGGGATGACAGTTGATAAAACTCACATAAAAAAAAAATTATCAATAATTATCCTATAAATCTTTAATTCTCTCTATCCTACAATATACGATCAGCTAGAATTACTACCGTAATCTATTTTACGTTCGTACTGATTATGAATATCGGTGTAACCTGAATATAATTGTTTGTTTTAGGTAAATTTTTAAATCTAAAATTAGTGATATTGAAACAATTCAATTAAATGCTACTAATTAAGCAATAATTACAATAATTCTCCCAAACAAAAACAAAACATTTGCAAATTGCATAACATTAAGAGCTAGGGCATTATTTAGATCCTCAATGGGCCTTAATTGTAAGATAATTTATTATTATTTAAAACACTAACTTGACTTCTTGTTCCAACTTCAATGCTGACCGCTGTTCGAGCAAGAGCAGTAGATATTGGAAAAATGGGAAAGAAACTACTGAGGACTGATGTAAAGCCTAATGCATACAGCTCCTAAAAAAACGCTTAATTTAAATTTAAAAATCAATAAACTGATTGAAATCAATAAGATCTCAAAATATTACAATAGCTAAACCTAAGAGATAATGAGAACATGCAAACTAATACATAAGTTAGAAAATCTAATTTATGAAAATTTAGCTGAATTAAATTTTGAATGACAACTCAAGTATCAAAGTTATCAATGATTATTAAACCTGCTTAGAATCAATATGGTATTTCATTCGTTTAGCTATCATTTTAGCCATCGATATATGAACAGCAAAGGTAACAGCGGCAATACCAATAGCATATGGAAAACAATCAACAACAACATCGAAACGAGGCAATCGGGGTCTCGGTAGGCTAAATGCAAAACATAATTAGCTGCCAAGTTATAAATTAAAGTTCAAAAAAATTGGAGTTTTGGATAATTTAAATATAATAATCTATCTAGAGAATTGAGCTAAGATTATAAATGATAAATTTTGCTGTATCATCATCTTTCCGATTATCTTATCTCATTTCTCTCTTATTTAATAGAAATTTTAAATTAGATTTGAAATCTTTAGTTAAAATTTTCTACAACTAAGATATTGAAATTATCAAGTTGAATGACATTTTGGGGATTGTAAAATTTTTGAATAAATCAAGTAATAGCATACCCTGTAGGAATTTGACCAACAATCGGTACATTGTGATATGTGTTTAAGTTCATGAAATGTGAAATAACAATTGATATTATTATCTGTAATATTCAAATTACAAATTAAATTCACTAACTCATCTCCGAATGATTTATTTTGAAACTATTCATAATATTTATCATAGCGTCTTAATGTTTTTTTTTTTTTTTTAAAAATAACATTTGTCAAATTAAAATAGCTTTTTGAATAATTTTAATATTTATCAAAGCATTCTGATATCTCTGATGAAAGTATAATTCTGACTGATACAATTTGAATTATAATTTTACTAGAGAAATTTATAGATAGCACTAAAATTATTTCAAGTAAATTCATTGAAAAATGAAATTTTTAATGGCTCAATAATTGTCCCTAATATTCAATTTATTTCTTTCCTTAGCACATATTATTTAACATTAACCTTCCATGATTTCTATATTATCGCAAAAAACTTCATTTAATAAAAAATACAGGAAATGAAGAAGTGAACTTACCAAAAATAGTTCATATGGTACAGGTATTTTAAACGGCAAGTGTTTATGCAAAAATGGTGTCACAAAACTTTTACCCAAATAAAGAAAAATCATACCAAAAATTGACATTCCGAGTACATAGAAGTTGGTTTGCGGAATGTGCATTAAAATACTATAAAATCTCTGGAAAAAATTGTTTCAGTTATTGCTTTTTGCGGCAAACATTTATAAACAATAATTAATACTTGTAATTTGTTTAATTCATTAAATGAGCAGCAAATTTCAGAGATAACTAAGAATCAAAATGAATTATTTTCAATAGAGGAAGTGTTCTTAATTTGTTTAGCTATTAAAAGTTACAGTAAACAGTTCTAAATCGATGAAAATGCAATAAATATTTGCAGTAAATTAGTTTTTCTGTAAGAATAATTTTAAACTTTAAAAAAAAAAAAACATAAGCAGTGATGAATTTGAGTTGTAAAAGCGTTCTGTTTCTAAGAAAATTTCTTTCAACAGATACTATGATGAACATCAAATACCTTGAAAAGATATCCCATTCCATGAAATTTTGATGCATTAATTCCGAAAAGATCATCTATCTGAGCAACAACAACGTGTACACAAGAACCGGTAATGAAACCAGAAACCAACTGATCTGAGAAATAAGCAGTGATAAATTCGAGTTGTAAAACACCTGCAATCAACTGAAAAAAAAATTTTTATTAAAATATATAAGATTTTCAAACAAAAAATTGAATTTCTAAAAAAAATTTTTAGAATGTTACGGTAGAATTACGGTGAACTACGGTAATTCGTAACGGTTACGGTAGGATTTGTTTGGAACAAAGTTTTCATAAATTTCAATTAATTTATCACTGATATAAATTATTATTTAAAAAAGAACTGACGAAATATTAAATCTTCTATGTTTGTATAATTGTTGTACAGAGTAATAATTCTAAAAACAAAAAGAGGATGTAATAAGTAGTAGCTAAGAATGAATAATTAATTGCCTACTTAGTAGCAAAGAAAAGTAATGAAAAAAAAAAAAGCAAAATGAATACCTCAACGATGCCCGTTGTAAAAGCAAGTACTGTAGTTATTTCTACAGAGGTAATTGAAGATATCGTCGTATCGTTATCTGCAACAATCATATCATCCATTCTTCCCGTTCGTTGCAACATTACTTCATCGCTTGCTAATAAACACATTATAGCTGTCACAGAAAATGATCCTATAAATAATAATTTTTTCATTAATGATAAAATTATAATATTTCAAATCCGATCTTTATCAGCTATCTATCAAATTTCAGTTAAAAGATAAAACTATGATATTTATTGAAGTTGAAAATTATTTCAGCAATATACTTTATTAATCTCTAACTATAATCATCTAATTTTTCATTGCTAATTTTGATTTTATATAAATTAAATTCTAGAGAAAAAATCAAAATTATTACCAACAGATGCATGTTTTGATGTCCCAAAAAACATATAGAAAAAGACCGGAAAAAATGATACATACAAACCGTATATCGGATCAACACCTGCTAATACTGCATATGCTATACCTGAATCAAAAAATATTCATCAATATTTTAGATGAAATTAACGTTGTATTATCTTAATTTGAGTTAAAACATGCAATATGTTTAAATTTAATTAAAACAATAAATTCAGCTTGAATTTAATGCTTACAAAAATTTTACAAGTAAAATTGTTGAACCAAATAAAATTTTTCAATATTTCACATTACACATCGGACGAATCACTCAGTTGTTGAACAAGAAGTATGTAATGAATATAAATCTATCAATTCTCTATCATTTCAAATTTTTTTTTATCATTTTCTATTATTTAAAAAATCTATCATTTTTTTGATAAAATGTAAATTTGATAAAATTAACCTTTTGTTGGTAAAATTTGATCAAATGGAAAAAAAAAAAACCTTGTGGTACATGCATAACACCAATTGTTAATCCACCGATGATATCATGCGTCAGATCAGTTTTCCAGTTATAATTTGGTAACCATTGTATAATTGGTATAAAATTTGTAAACCATTGCCATAAATTGAGCGGACTGGAACATGGTACCAATAATCGACGTGCTCCTTTCCTGAAAATCGTTGCAAGAAAGATGGAAGCGCAGGCGACAGGAAACACTTGCAGTTATAACTTCATCATGCATTTGCATCCATTATTGCAGTTTGAATCATCAGTTGCATTTCCCCTCTAAAGTATGCATAATATACTATTTATTATATATATTAAATAAAATAATCAAAGAAATATAAAGCAAAATTGATAATGTATGCAAATTTTATTAAAAAATATAAAAAAAATATTCGTTATCTGAAATATTACTGAGAAAAATTGTGCAAAAATAATTTTAAAAAAGTATGCAATCTTTTTGGCGAAAAAAAAAAAACGGATAAAAATTATAAGAGATGATAGAAAAAAAAATATTACAAAGTTAATTATGATAAGTTGATAAGTTAAATTTATAATAAGTTTGCTGAATGTACATTGTATATTTTGTGTTTAAACTTGCAGACTAATTTACATACCCGGTTAAAATTCACTGAGATATTTTTCGGATAGATGAGATTAAGAACTGATATTCTGGATATTGATATCGAATTTTTAAATATGGAAACAGGAATTCCATCTCTCTCTCCCTCTCTTTCTCTTTCTCTTCCTCTCTCTCCCTCATTCATGTCGAAAGAAGATCAGCGATATCAGGAAAATATTCGTTTATCAGATACTGAAACAAAATGTAAGCATTTACTTCAATCGATCCTTTATCGTAGATTTTGACCTGTATTGAAATTTTCGATCATATTCCTCCTTGAAAAGACATAAATTAAAATTCTGCATTTAATATTAAAATTTCTCATTAATGCCTAGAAAATTTTATAAAAATAATTATTGAAATTTCTAAAACGATCATTCAAAATAACATTATCTGATAACCAATATAATTTCTTAACAATTTTATGAAAATTGACTATGAAAATTCCTAAATTTGTAATAACTGAATTTTTTTTTGATTTATTAAATGCAGATTATCACAATTTAATTTGGATAGATTGATATTTAAAAAACGAACCTGATTTAGGCCATACGTATTCCATATACCTTCGGTTCCCATTTACTCTAAAATTGTGGAATTTTTGGATAACTAAAAATAAATAATATCTTCATCGTAACACGCTTGCAATCGCAGACAATTTCACTTTTATAACATAAAGTGATTTTTAAGTAGATAATTTAATTTGTCTGAATTCGCTTTTAATTTTTTAATTTTAGTTACTTAAAAATATTGACAGTTGAAATTTAAAAGCATATGTTTATCCCACCATTGCACAAAAACTATCATATTGAGTTACAATAATTACAATGCTGCTAATCATTTAACATTTAAAAAATACAATCAATGAATTTTGATGGTTTTTCTTGCTAGCGTTGAAAGCTATAAAATCGCATGGCTAATCATTCAAACGAAATGTATTAATCTTACGTCCTCCTTCCTTATTTTATCTGTAAACAGAATACATCATTAACTCCTAACAATAATTAAAAGATAAATAGCCTTCAAATTAAACAGATATGAAATTAGCAATATCGCAAATATCCTCTGTCAAGTCTATAGTTCAATTATTAACTTTTTATAAACATTCATACGGCCAAGTATTGAAAATATTAGCTTCTCGAAATTTAAAATCACACTAATTGTAGAAGTTCGTCCTTGTTAAATACGACAAGTGTATCTACCATGAAAATTAAGAAAAGCATTAAATTTAATTTAGCATAAAGTTGCCGTATTTACGGAAAATAATAACTTTATATTAGTGTTCAAATCATAAGGTAGAAAAAATAGGTCATTTATTATTTATTACCTATTGTCAAAATGGTAGATGAATATGATGTATGAGACAACACAACTTCATAACTTACTTTATTAAATCTTTGTGGAGTTAGCTATCCGATAGTTAATAACGAATTATTGTGACGAGAAATTGACCCATTTCCGCTGACCTAAGAGTTAGCTGGAAATGTTGCGTAGCAAATTTTTCACATATAGTATCACTTACATAGGTGATAGCTTAATCGAAGTTGATGGAGAGAAAAAATTTTCAGTTCAATAATTCCGATGTAATTTATTGCTTACTTTATCAATAAAATCTTTAATTTATTGTATCAATAAGTGATTAGGTTAAATTTAAATCGATTAATGGTCTGATAAAAAGTGAACTTCGATCATTCCTTTGCAGTTACCTACCTATTTTGATAGGTATCAATTCAAATAAACTATTACCTATTAAATTTAAGAGAATGACCCATCTGCAGAATGGTACTTGAATAACATTCGAATGTAAATATCCTAAAAATAACAATAATCGTATCTTTCAAAATTTTATAAAATAATATCACTTAATTCAATTATCAAATATTTAAACAATTCAGGTGAGATTTTCAACACTGATATGATTGATCTATGAATTGTTTACCATTCAAAAGTATGATTGGTTGAATAAATGCTATTTGTTTTTTTTTTTTGACTTTAATTACATTTACAATTGTTCCATTCTCTAATGAGTAATAAAGATGAAAATGTAAAGAAAATAATGAAAGAAAAAAAAAAGCAGTGCAAAAAAAAAAAAAAAGAAGAGATTCGTTCGGTATAAAAGATAAACTTCAAAGGGAGCAATATAATTAAAGTGATATTTGCGAGACAGTGATTCATAAATGAGAAAACGATTCTTTCCGTCGCAAAATATGGCAGTGTGTAATGGAAGAGGGACATTTGACATCGTTAAATGAACTAATCATATGCTCCGTGTGACGCTAAAACTTTAATTGAAATCTTTATTTTAAGAGCCAGTTTTACCTATGACACATTTTAACCAAACAAACTATTTAATCATGAATTTTTGCAAGGAAAGAAAAGTACAACGGTGCAACTAATTACTTTCCTTTACCTGTTTAGAAGGAATGTTTCTGGGGCTAAAATTAGATAGATAATTAATTAGTTTCTTTTGTCAGTTGAGTTCTGTCTATAGCATGAATTTCTGTTCGGGCTGAAAGTTTGATTACAGTGATTGCTTTAAACTAGCTACAAAAAAAAAAAAAGGAAAAGGAAAAGAAGACGAAAAAAAAAACATATAAATTGATGATTATAAATATCAATCATATTACTTACATAATACAAAAACAAATTTGCAAAATTAATTTGTTATTGCTTTTTTTTTTAAAATTTTAACCATTTAAAAATTTTGCAATAAATGTCAGTTCAATGCTAAAAATGATCAATAAAAGTTATATATTGTTATTTATATCTTTTTTGTAATAGCAATTTCCTCCTCATCTTTTAATACAATATTTCTGAATTAAACTAATGTATGAAGAGTATTACAGTTTAGTCCCTGTGTTTACAATCACTATTTCATTCAGATGTGAAATATTTAAATTGATCGGCGGTGAAAAAAAAAAATGTGAGAACACAATAACAGGTAGTGGAAGACATTTAAAAGCTTTAAAGTGATATTAAAAAAAGCCACGTAATATTATATCGATATCGATATCAATACAAATGCTACGATATGTTCATTTTTCAATGATATAATATATGATATGTTTGGTATCATTTATCAATGAAACATTTGTAATCGGATATTTTAAACAGCAAAAAATGAAGGCGTGAAATCTATGTAAGATACTACAAGCTTCCTCCCATTTAGTAAAATCATTTCAAAATTTGAAAGTTATTTCAGAAATTCTCATCTGTATATGAACTATTTTTATCGTTGTGTTAATCAGTCTTCATTTTCTTTGCTTTAGCTAAACTAAAAAAAAAATCTCATAAATGACCATATCACTGATAAGATCAGCCACAGTCATGGATCTAATAATCGTTAGCTATAGTTGATTTACAATTACACCAAAACTATAAGGCGTAATTTTCATCTCTTCATATTAGTAAACTATGAGAAATTTAAAACTGTCACAAATTTCATATCAATAATTGATATGAAATGGCAAAAAAAAAACTGATAGAGATAAAAGAATGAATCAATAATATCATAATGAATTTACTAAAAAAAAATTATCCATTCTGAAAGTG